CGGTATCCGAAGCATGGTACAGAAAAACTATTACTACAAAATTTGTAGCAAATTGTGCCCTTAACGTAATGGTCTGTACATTTTTGCTCCCAGATGCATCAATGTGGAGAATTTTACAAAAATGTGAAAATTAGAAGAGTGTTGAAAAAACGGTATCCGGAGCATAATACAGAAAAACTTTTACAACAAAAGTTGTAGCAAATTGTACCTTTAACATAATGGTTTGTAACATTTTTGCTCCCAGATGCATCAATATGGAGAATTTACAAAAATATGAAAATTAGAAGAGTGTTAAAAAAATCGATATCCGGAGCATCATACAGAAAAACTTTTACAACAAAAGTTGTAGCAAATTGTACCCTTAACACAATGGTTTGTAACATTTTTGCTCCCAGATGCATCAATGTGGAGAAATGTTAAAAAAATCGGTATCCGGAGCATCATACAGAAAAACTTTTTGAATGTAGAATGCAGAAAATATACACTTAAGCGCAAAATTAACGTACCACTCTGAATTTTGGTTTTATTTCGAGAACTATTATATATATTTCCTATTCATTAATATCAGTTATAATAATTTGTTCATTATTACGCCTTTTGTATAGGATTTGTCCGTCTTCTTTATTTAATTTAGAAATCATAGTATCTTTTCACGAGAGACTTGTTTTTTAAGTAAATAAGCCTCACTTCTAAAACAAAAGTAGGCATTGTTTTTTAATTGTTTTATCAATTGATAAGATAACTGTCATTCGTGCAATACATAATGGAGCGTGCTAGACGAAATTTAAATCGTGATAAATGTGATCAAATTGTAACTTTGTCCAACGAAGGACAAACAAATCGCGAACTTGGTAGAAGGTTTGGCGTGGCTCATACAACGGTCGGCAGGGTTCTGCAGAGATTTGTAGAGACCAACAATTATGCTAGACAACGTGGCCAAGGCAAGCCACGAGCTAATACAAATGCGGTGGAAGATCGATTTTTGATGCTTCGAGCACTTAGGGAACGAAGTCTCCAAATACAACTAAGCGAGATTCATGGCACTGCTGTTAGTCCAGATACCATAAGAGGAAGACTTCGTACTCAAAATTTACCACCTCGGGCAGCAGCTACTAGTCCCAGATTATCTGCAAACCACCGAAGAAGCAGATTGGCTTATTATGAGCAGGTGTTATTTACGGATAAGTCACGGTTTTGCGTTGTAAGTTCTCATCGTCGTCCAAGAGTGTACAGAAGGCTAAATGAAAGATATTCCACCTAAATTATACCTTAAATTATGTTAACATTCAAGTCCTCGAGTGACCAGCCTGTACTCCAGACCTGAACCCAATCGAGCATCTTTGGGACGTAATGGGACGGAGGATTAGAAGTCAGCATCCACCACCTAACAGCTTAGACAAGCTGCGACAAAGTCTTATTCGCGTATGGGAAGATATCCCTCAAGAAACCATCAGATCTCTAATTGAAAGTATGCCACGGCGATATCAGGCTACAATAACAGCCAGAGGTGCTAACACTAGTTACTGATAACCTAAGTACGGTTCAAAAGAAGTTCTTTGTGTTCGTAACAATAATGATCCTTTTACATGATTTTGTTTATTTTCAGTTTTCGTTTATTTCCTACATAATTCATTTAAGTCAAACTTATTGTTATTATCGAAATAATTCTGTTTATGTATTCTATTCGATTTATTAAATTCATTTGATGAGTTGGATGTAGGCAAAATGGTACCTTTGAAAAATCTAGGTAAGTGTGAGAAAATTAAACAAAACTATGTTACTACTATTGTTTATTTATGTTGAATTCATAATTTTACCTAATTTTTCAGGTCCAACAATTCCATCAAGGGAAGAAGCTGCTGTGGTTAAAGCTTATGTGAGTCGGAAAACACAATACAAGTTTTATACAGGCAGCGAGAGGCCTTCAAAGATACTTATGAACTGTTTGCGTCTGACCATAGGATGCAGCACTGCTGTGTGCGAATCTACATCTACAGGCAATAAAAGGCAGAAAAGAACAAACTCAGTTGATCTCAATGAAGTCCTTCGCATTTTTAACAAAATCGCGAATCGAAGAATTCAGCTGTTTTAAGGAAAGCCTTTTATTTTATTATTATAGTGATTATAATATGTTTGGAGAATTATTATAAAACTGAATAAATTATTATTTACCTATCACCCCCCCCCCCCTCCAAGTTCATGATTCGCTCTGGGCGTTTGCATTTTCTTTTTACAATGACTTTTCTCTTGCCTGGATCGTCTTGGATGCTTGTTTCGTCATAATTAATGATTGCCTCTAGGGAAACATCCTTTAAAGATATTGCTAGTTCACTAAAGTAGGACTCTATTACTTCTGGGGTGACCCCAGCTTTTGCTCTTTTGATATTTTTACATAGGCGGCCCTTTAATTCTTCACTCTGCCTCTTTAGAAAACCTTTTATGCATTTGATCCCAGGCATATTATTTTCAAACCGGGGCTCATTTAGTCCATTTTTATCTAACATTTTTTTAATAATGCATCTTATGTCAAAACTTGTCAGTGAACATCCCCACTCGGCAGCTAGAGCGATACACTCAGTGATTTTCCTTTCTTCATCATTGTTGAACAGTGGAGGACGTCCATATTGGTTCTGCTGTTTATTTTTGACTCTTCTTTGTATGGACGACTTAGGGACACCAAATTTCTTTTCAACTTTACGGTATGACATCTCGTTTTTAACCGCATTGGCAGCCTTGGTAATGTTTTCTTCATTAAAAATTCATTCTTTGATTATCAATACAGCCATTAGGCTGGTTTTATAACCTAATAGGCATAACACAACACCAAGCCACAAATCCCTAACAATAATGGTACACTCAGGGCAATTAAAGTTATTTTGACTAACGAAATAATCAGTTACAGAACTAACCTTCAAATTCTTCTTTAATATGCGAATTCAAGTAGCAGCAGACTAATCTTCTGAGCAACAAAGTAAACAAAAGACAAATAATGCCATTCCCTGCTGTCAAACTTCACTCATCAGGTTGGCCAACCCAAAAAAAGTAAAATATCTCTTTTTGTCCCAAGTTAGATACCTGTCCCAAGTACGGGCTATTGATTGTACCTCACTCACTCAGTCATATTCACAAGTACGATGAAAATCGATTTACCAGATCAGATCAAGTAAAATTTTTATGGCTTTGGAACAATGCAGAACAACTCTAGAACAATCTAGAACAACAATGAAACATTTAAAAACCAAAAAGTGGGAGCTAACTTCCCTCGCTCCACGTTTACACGTTGAAACTTGTACAAGAAATAAAACATGACACATTGTTTCACGAGATTTCACGTATTTCAATCCCTATTTCCACAATGAAATTAAAGTTATCGTGCGATTTTTATTTCATGAGACGAAAATCTCATAAAATATTCTCCTTCTGGATTCGTACTTTTAGACTCCCTAACACCTTTTTACTTCTCTATTTCTTCCATCATATATCTCTCGATTGTGAGAATCGTTTATGAGAAGCCATTTTTGATATGTTACTTTTGATAACATTAATCAGAACGAGATTAACGAGATTTACAATTTCGGTAATATTTGTTTTGAACTGCATTAAGTTAATATACGTGATTGATGTGTTAAAATTATTTATAGAATATGTTTTTTATGTTAATAAGGAATATTTTTAGTTCCTAACATATTTTTCCATCACTTTTTATTCTCGAGTTATATCCGGTTTTTTGTCAAAAACGACAATTTTGGTAATATTTGTTTTTGAACTGCATTAAGCTAGTATACGTGATCGATGTGTTAAAATTATTTATAGAATATGTTTTTTATGTTAATAAGGAACATTTTTAGTTCCTAACATATTTTTCCATCACTTTTTATTCTCGAGTTATATCCGGTTTTCTGTCAAAAACGTCAATTTTGGTAATAATTGTTTTTGAACTGCATTAAGTAGACTGATATTTTCAGATTCTTTTCTTTCATTCATCAGATTTTTGATTATCTTCCATGCTTGCAATTCCCTTGATCCTCCCTAACACCTTTTTACTTCTCTATTTCTTCCAGCATATATCCCTCGATTGTGAGAATCGTTTATGAGAAGCCATTTTTGATATGTTACTTTTGATAACATTAGTCAGAACGAGATTAGCGAAGACACAACTAACAATTATTTATAATCAAAGGTCATAGAAGAACTTTATGAAGTTCATTCGCATATTTCCAATGTGCATTGATCATAACCCGAGTAAATATTTAAATGTATTTGTGACTATTTAATTAGTGTCAATTGGCAACATTATCTTTGTTAAATAGCATTTCATTTCATTTCTAATTGAGCCGACCGCATTAAACACGATTAAAACGTTATCAATTAATAAACAATAAATGTTGTTACTTGCGAAAGATTAAACTGGACCCCAGCAAAGCCTATAATAACAACAAATGTCATCGTTATCGACGTTTATGACCTTTAAAACGTCGTTTCATGTAATAAAACGTAGTTAATTTTCATGTCACAATTTATTTTTGATGTTTTCATTCGAATTATGACGTATGTATTTTAAATTTACAAATACCTATATTCATTTAAAAAAAATGAATTTTACCTGAATACAACCCTGTCTTATTTTTACAAATTTTTACTTTACTTAATTTTTTACGTTTATTTCCGTTTAAACTACGTTTTAATAATATTTTCGCTTCAAAAACAGCAAAAAAATCTTAAAATAGCTTCAAAAAGTCAAAAACAACTCCAAAGGTAAGTCCAAATATAATTAAGTGAGGTTAGGTTTAATTTTTTTTATTGTTTGTTAATTAAAATTGATGCGTTATGTAATAGTAAATAAGTAAGTTAATTAGATTTGGTTTCGTTTTAGGTTCAAATCGAATTTTAGATGAAAAATGATCAAAAATTGGGTGAAAAAGTCGCCCCTGAGGAAGTATCCGAGAAGAGTAAAGAGCTTAGCAACAAGAAATGGTTGGAAAATGTGAGTGTTTTCGATTATTTATGTTGGGGGTTATCGAAATTGCAAAAAGTTATCACGAAATAATAAATAAGTGTTAAATTATGTCTTTGTGGTGGTCTGATTAATCTTTGGCGGGGTCTCCAGTTGCTGATAGCGCTTTTATTTTTATTTCTCGGGGCTATATAAACGCGAGATCTTCATGAAAATTACATCAGAAATTACTTTGAGTTCTATTACGATTCAGTATTAATAAAAGTTGTATTCTAACCTAAAAAAAAAATTTAATTATTGTAATAATGGAACAAAAAATGGTAAGAATTAATTTAGATTAATCTAAATTTAAGTTTTGATGATAATTTTGATTTAATTTGTTGCAGTACCCAGTTTTAAAAGCTTTTTTAGCCGGATCATTATCAGGAACTTGTTCTACAGTTTTATTTCAACCCCTTGATCTTGTTAAAACACGTTTACAAAACCCAGCTACTAATTATATTAAGTAAGATGATTTGTTTTAATCATTTATGTAAAAATTAACTTAATTTTGCTACTTATAGTGGAAGAAATGGAGTTGGAATGGTTACAATTTTCACAAATATCATTCAAAAAGAACAAATTAAAGGACTATGGAAAGGAATGACACCCGTAAGTGATTAAAAACGATATAAATAATACAAATTTAATAAGTTAATTTCAATTTTAGTCTCTTTCGAGATGCGTACCTGGTGTTGGGCTCTATTTCTGCACCCTGGATGTTTTAAAAACGAATTTCTTCAGTGATACAACCCCCAGGCCTTTGGAATCGATTGGTTTAGGCGTCGTTTCGAGATGTATTAGCGGAATTATTATGATTCCAATGACTGTAATTAAAACCAGGTGAGTTTAGGTTATGTTTATAAAAAATTAATTATTAATTAATTAAAACTAATCAAACACAAAAACTTACCGCTTTTATTTAATTGAAACATCCTAAAATATTTAATTTCTTTTATTATGTTTAATTATTAAACATTAATAACAAATTTAATAATTTAAACTTAAATTTGACACATTTCTTTGTTGTGATTGATTAAAAAAAATAATACCAACTTTAAAAAATTAAATTCACAAATTTTAATTTATTTATTTATTTACTTTTTTAATTTAAATTTGATTAATATAATTACAATTAATAACAAATTTAATTTTTTATCTTAATTATATCACATTAATACATTATAATTAATTTAAATAAAAAGATACCAACATAAAAAAATTAAATCAAAAAAATTTAATTAATAAAATTAATTCTTTTATAATTTAGATTTGAAAGTGGCGTTTACGGCTATCAAAGTGTAAATCAAGCTATTAAAGAGATTTATCGAACTGAAGGTTTAAAAGGAATGACTTGTGGTTTGGTTCCAACTTTAATTCGAGATGCTCCTTACTCTGGGTTGTATTTAATGTTCTACACAGAATGCAAGAAATTAGTACCAAAAGGTAACTTTAACAATAATTACTTTAACCAGTTTCTTATTATGTAATTTTAGATCTTTATAATTCTCCATATACATCTCCAGTACATTTTACATGTGGATTAACAGCGGGGATTTTATCCTCAATTGTAACTCAACCAGCTGATGTTTTAAAAACGAAAATGCAACTGTATCCGCACAAATTCAACGGGATTTGGTCCGTTATTGTTTATGTTAATACAAAATATGGAGTGAGAGGTTATTTTAAAGGTGTTGTACCAAGAATGTTAAGAAGAACTTTGGTTACTGCAATGGCTTGGACTGTTTATGAGAGATTAACGAACACGTTTGGGTTGAAATAATTCTTATGATAGTGAATGGAGCTATATTTATTTGTAAATATTGTAATAATTATTGTGATATAAGTATTATCTAAATTAAATTATTTATTTATGTTAAAATTTTAATTTTTTCATTACAACCTAATCTTAACAAAATCATTTTCGATTTATTTGTGGAAATTAAGAATGATTTATATGCTAAGTAAAAGTTTGAAATGTTTTCTTAATCATAAAAAAATTCAATTTTGGTAATATTTGTTTTTGAACTGCATTAAGTTGGTATACGTGATAGATGTGTAAAAATTATTTATAGAATATGTTTTCTATGTTAATAAGGAACATTTTTAGTTCCTAACATATTTTTCCATCACTTTTTATTCTCGAGCTATATCCGATTTTCTATCAAATACCTAAAATTTTGGTAACATTTGTCTTTTAACTGCATTAAGTTAGTATAAGTGACCGTTGTGTTAAAATTATTTATAGAATATGTTTTTTATGTTAATAAGGAACATTTTTTGCTTCTAACATATTCTTCCATCACTTCTTATTCTCGAGTTATATCCGGTTTCTGTCAAAAACGACAATTTTGGTAATATTTGTTTTGAACTGCATTAAGTTGGTATACGTGATCGATATGTTAAAATTGTTTATGGAATATGTTTTTTATGTTAATAAGGAACATTTTTAGTTAACAACATATTTTTTCATAACTTTTTATTCTCGAGTTATATCCGGTTTTCTGTCAAAGACGTCAATTTTGGTAATATTTATCTTTTAACTGCATTAAGTTAGTATAAGTGATCGATGAGTTAAAATTATTTATAGAATATGTTTTTTATATTAATAAGGAACATTTTTAGTTCTTAACATATTTTTCCATCCCTTTTTATTCCCGACTTATATCCGATTTTGTGTCAAAAACGTCAATTTTGGTAATATTTGTTTTTGAACTGCATTAAGTTGGTATACGTGATCGATGTGTTAAAATTATTTATAGAATATGTTTTTTATGTCAATAAGGAACATTTTTAGTTCCTAACATATTTTTCCATCACTTTTTATTCTCGAGTTATATCCGGTTTTCTGTCAAAAACGTCAATTTTGGTAATATTTGTTTTTGAACTGCATTAAGTTGGTATAAATGATTAGATGTGTTAAAATTATTTGTGGAATATATCTTTTATGTTAATAAGGAACATTTTTGGTTCCTAACATATTTTTCTATCACTTTTTATTCTCGAGTTATATCTGGTTTTTTGTCAAAAACGTCAATTTTGGTAATATTTGTTTTTGAACTGCATTAAGTTGGTATATGTGATCGATGTGTTAAAATTATTTATAGAATATGTTTTTTATGTTAATAAGGAACATTTTTGGTTCCTAATATATTTTTCCATCACTTTTTATTCTCGAGTTATATCCGGTTTTTTGTCAAAAACGTCAATTTTGGTAATATTTGTCTTTGAACTGCATTAAGTTAGTATAAGTGATCGATGCGTTAAAATTGTTTGTGGAATATGTTTTTTATGTTAATAAGGAACATTTTTTGCTTGTAACATATTCTTCCATACCTTTTTATTCTCCAGTTATATCCGGTTTTCTGTCAAAAACGTCAATTTTGGTAATAATTGTTATTGAACTGCATTACGTTGGTATAAATGATCACATGTGTTAAAATTATTTGTGGAATATATGTTTTATGTTAATAAGGAATATTTCTTGTTTCCAACATATTCTTCCATACTTTTTATTCTCGAGTTATATCTGCTTTTCTGTAAAAAAAACGTGAATTTTAGAAATATTTGCTTTTTAACTAGATAAGTTGAAGTAGATAAGTATTGGTTATGTTTTTAGGTTGGTAAGGAACATTTTTTATATCAAAAATATGTTTCCATCTCTTTTTATTCTCCAAGTTTCTTCTGATTTTTATGCAAAAACTGTCAATTTTAGAAATTTTTGTTTCTATTTGACTAGATAAGGTTGGTATATATAAATGTGTTAAAATTATTTATGGAATTTGTTTTTAGGTTGATAAGGAACATTTTTTTGTTCCAAATACTTTCTTCCATCTCTTTTCATTCTCAAAATTTTATCTAATTTTTATATCAAAAACGCCAATTTCAGAAATATTTACCTTCTAGCCAAATAAAATTGGTATAACTGATCAATGTGTTTCAATTATTTACGGAATATGTCTCTAGGTTGATAGAGAGCATTTTTTGTCCGAAAAATTTTATTCCATCTCTTTTCATTCTTGGAGTTTTATCCAGTTTTTATGTCAAAAACTTCAATTTTAGAAATATATGCTTTTTATAACTAGTTTCGGTTGGTATGACATAAAAATATCAAAATATAACCCTGAAGGGGTATGGCATCTCAAATGAGGTTTTAAGGCAGACGAGGTTATAAAATACTTATGTAGAGCAGGACAGGTTTTCTTCTATTTACAAGGGGGAAGACAAGACTTGTCTTATGACATTATCAAAATCACAGCAACATTTGTCTGCTAAGTAGTTAGGGAAGTTATTGCATAAAACGGTGTGTGAGGGAGATAGTATGTGTATAGGACCTTCAGTTTCAATAGGCTTATCGGGATATAGGAGCACTGCCCCAATACTATCCTTTCTACCCTACTCGTGGGATAAACCTCGATACTGAAAAGGAAATAAAAAATATGGAGCAGGTTCTTCTGCATTCTGAAGGGGAGGAAGATGAAGAAGAGGCTGTCAAGGCACTAGACAGTCTAATTATAGGGAGCGGGGTGCTTTATGAGATCACCCTCAAGCAGGTGATTGATAAACTTAATACTCCATCGGAGAAGATTGCAAGGGCCTAAGCCTTTGGCCAAGTGGGTACGCTCTGATGGGTCCACCACGCCTCAGCAAGTGGCTAAGAAGCCCAAGCCGGCTGAGATCCAACCGAGCTGTTTCAGAAAAACAGCTAAACTACAAAGCTGCGGTGAGCGATATCAGAGTTTGATTAATCTACCCAGACTATCCCGCCCAAAAGTTTAATGTAGAACAGGTGGGGTTGCTACAGAGGGAGGTTATTTCAGTCGTAGACAACATTCAAAAAGAGGGTGTGCGAACACAAGTTCGGTTCGTGGGGTTTGCGATGCGTCCAGGCTGGGTTTTAGAAACCTGCGCGGATGCCTGCTGGAAAGATTGGCTTGTGAATACAGCCTACAACTTTCATCCATGGGAGGATGCCCAGATTAAGGCGATCGAGAAGAGAGATATTCCCAGCATTTATCACAGACGATGAAGTTAGTGTTTCTCTCACCAAAGAGACGGTGTTAACCCGATTGGAGGTGATGAACAACTCACTCCATACATCCGAATGGACGGTTTTAAATACCACCAGATCTGGATCGGGGTAGACGTGGACCTTGAAACTGTATTCAGCTCAGTGGATAAGTGTATTAACTGTTTACAGGTAAACCTATAGCACGCTAAAGCAGCTACGGCTCTTCTTAGCAAAACCTGGATGAGTGAGCGAATTGACATTGCCCTCATCCAGGAACCATGGCTCGCCAATACCGACTTTGCGATACTTTGCTCAGGGGATAGACCGAGGGCTTGCTTACTTATCAGGAACAACATTAATGCATTCTTAATCTCAGAGGATAGCGACCGCGATTGTGTGGCTGCGGTTCTGAGAATCCGAGGTGAGAAGGGCTGGGCAGAAGATATCATCTGCTCGGTATACTTCCCCTTAACGGATAATGATCTTGCCCCGGCCGCTGTGCGAGACATAATTGCCTACAGCCGGAGGAATAACCTACAAATGGTTGTTGGTTGCGACGCCAATGCGCACCTCACAATGTGGGCAAGCACCAACATAAATGAAAGAGGTGAGTTGCTTTTTGACAACATATTAAGAGAAGGGCTTACTGTTAATAATGTAGGCGCCAAACCAACCTTTGTTACCAGAAATAGAGCTGACGGTAGTTTTACGGACTCCAGCAGAGCCTCGTTAGAGCTTCTCATGCAGACTCACTTCCCAGAAAGCTTGATGATGGGGGTTAATAATGCCACAGCGGGCTATTCTTGCGTGGCAAAGCGCAAATACGGATTGGAGTGTGGCTAGAAAAGTCGTCACTTGCACATCCGTCGACCAGACGATTCAAACGTTTAAGCCGTTCAAATCGCCTGGAGAAGACAATATCTTTCCTGCTTTGTTAAAGCAAGGAAGATCACTATTGTCCCCTGGAAATATATACTGGCAGAATGGACTAATTGTAAGTTAAGGGTATCTTATATACCTAAAGAGGGCCGTTCGGTCCTCACTCCTAATATCTTTCGACCCATCAGCTTGACGTAATTTCTGTTGAAAACCCTTGAAAAAGTTCTGGAACGGTATATCCGTACGGTGCCACTGAGTCGCCAATAGTACGCTTATCATGCGGGAAAGACAGCAGAATTGGTTCTACACAACTTGGTTGGTAGAGTATTCAGGACGCTCCAGGATAAAGAGATCTTGATTTGTGCGTTTCTGGATATAGAATGTGCGTTCAACAACGCAATACCACAATGCTGATGACATTGCCGTTATAGTCAAATGTGTTTGTCCAGGATATCCAAAGTTCTCCAGGTAACCCTAGATATCATTTGCTCTTGGCGTAAGGGAAAGAATCTGTCGATAAACCCGCAAAAGACAATTAAATATCTAAGAGTAATCCTAGACAAAACGCTCTCATGGAATGGACATTTGGAGGGAGTTTTACACAACGCTAGACTATCCTAATGGACTTGTCGTAGTCTTTGTGAAAAAGTTTGGGGTCTTACTCCTGAAAGACTGTACTGGCTCTTTGTGACTGTGGTTAGACCTATGATCTCATACGGAGCAGCAGCCTGGTATAGGAAACTCCGACAGACTTCAGTTATCAGTAAACTTTCACGAATTCAACGAGCAGATGGATTGGCAATCTCTGGTGCGGCAAGCACAACGCCATCCTTTGCAATTGCATATAGAGAAAGTGGCTAGAACTACCATTTAGAGATTTAAACAATATGCTCAACACTTTTTTGACAATCCTTTCTGGTGCAGACAGATGGATCAAGAACGCCGGAAGGGGTCGGGGCTGGAGTATACTGCCAGACCTGTTTTCCAGGCGG